TAATATCGATATATTTTTGTCAAATTTTTATGATATCTTCAAACATATATTTTATTCAAAAATAAAAACATCATCGCTTTCTCAAAATCACATAAAGTCATATTATAACATCGACTGAGATAAGGAATAAAATGAAATATTAAAATCATGATGTATCTCGCTGCATTGTGCGAGTATGCTTCTAGTTATATTATAAAATATTTGATAATTTTATTTAAAAAACTAGTTTTTATATGTGAAGTAATGTTTATTGACACATATTATTTAAAATTCAAAATTACAAAAGCTCCATGTATGGATATGTATAACTAACTACAGATAAACATAAACAAATATATAATAAAATTCTTTTTTTAAATATAAAAAAATCTACAATATAATTAAGATAATTATTGAGTTCGTTAATTATTATCTTTATAAAAAAACTATATTATTAAACCAAAAAACAAAGTATTTTGTTATCAAAACTAAATTAAATTATGATAAAAATATGAATTAAAGAATTTACACAAAAAACAAAAATTTTAAATAGTTAATTTGATATTAATATCGATATATATATATTTTTTCAAAACTTTATGATATCTTCATATAACACATAAAACCGTATTATAACATCGACAAAGACAGAATAAAATGTAACATTAAAATCGAGATATACCTCGGTGTATTGCACGATTACCTTTCTATTATTTTTTATATAATTATTGATGATAGAAAAAAAATACATGTGACCACAATTTTATATAAGTATTTAATTTGGTGAGACGGAAATGATGTGGTAAGAAAAACTACATAAAATAGTTTTTTTACAAGAACCTCCATTGAAGATGCTCCTATTGTCCCAAAAGATATAAACTACAAACGTTAAGCAATCATGTTTGGTGAAATTAGTCGATAACCTAGTTTATGGTTAAATTAGTTGTTTTCGTTAAACACAATATCAAATGACTTAAAAAAGTAAAATTAGTCGAGCATGTTTTACCTGTACCTAATTATTTATTTATTACTCTTTTAGCTGATTTGGCGATTTTTGATTTTGGCTTTGTAGTAATTATTCTATTTAAATGAATTTCATATGTTAGTTTGTCATTATAAGACATTTTTGTTGTTTCAGTTTTTGAGACTCTTAATATAATATATGAAATAAATTTTTACATTTTATTTTATTTTATTTGTTACTCAGAAAATCAAATCAATTTATAGTTATGTAACAGGTCATGGTATGGTCCTAGTGCTGATTAATATTTTAAGAAAAAACCAGATACCACAACCAATGACAATTCAAACCAGCGGGTACTACTAGTTCATCATCATTAAAAGCTTAAGCTTGAAGTCTACATAAGGATCAAGAATTCAAATGCTACATCATTTTGATATAATACTTTTTCTAAATAACTAGTTTCATTGTTCTAGAAATGCAATTACTCATAAAAGACTATTTTTCTAAATATTTTGATATATAGCTGACCGAATAAGCTATGAGTCCCATTAAGCCGCCAACCAACGTGTCCGTACTCTTCTTTGTTTTAGTACTCTAGTGACGAGGGGAAGAAAAGATGGAGAAGAACCGGTTCTGCTGAACTTTAATTACCTTGTACGTAGCGTGTGCAAGCGTCTTTAAGATAGATTAGGATCCATAAGTAACATTTGGATTTATTTGAATCTTATTATAGAAACTACAAACTGGTTGCTACGGTTTCCATCTAGCGCTAATAGTATTTATAAACAGGAAGGAATATTTCGAGATTCCATGGGCAAGCTTAAGAGGAATGGTGGAACCAAGTTTTGCAGAGAGATCGGTAATCCAGCATAAAGACTACCTAACAGCTTCTCGTCTCATTGTATCCAGTGCCATCAGCATAACTGATTCTGAAGTCCTGACATCGGAGGGTCGGTTGGTTCCCTACAACTATCTTATAATTGCTACTGGTCATCGGGATCCAGTACCAAAAACTAGAGCCGAAAGACTCGTACAATACCAAGCAGGTAACATCTATTTCAATCCCATATTGTTATTCTTTTAAACTGATAAAAGTGTGTAGCTTAACACTTGATAAACCAAAGCAAACCAAGCTAAGCCAAACGAACCTAGTCCCACCCGAATATGGGGTTTGGAGGTAATATATATGCAGACCTGACCTCCACCATAAAAAGCAATGTAAAGTAGTTTCCGTGAAAACTCTTGACTTGTAATTGCTGCTCATGTGTGCCTTGTTGATCATGGCAGAGAACGAAAAAATAAAAAGTGCTGAATCAATTTTGATTGTTGGAGGTGGACCTACTGGAGTAGAACTTGCAGGAGAAATTGCGGTTGATTTTCCAGAGAAGAAGATAACATTGGTGCATAAAGGCAACCGGTTGCTGGAATTTCTTGGACCAAAGGCTTCCAAGAAGACCCTAGATTGGCTCAAATCAAACCATGTCGATGTGAAACTGGAGCAAACTGTAGATTTGGAGAATGTTTCAGATGGAAGCAATGCATATTCAACTTCAGCTGGTGAAACTATTCGAGCCGATTGCCATTTCTTGTGCATTGGGAAGCCATTGGCATCATCATGGCTCAAGGATACCATCCTGAAGGATAGCTTGGATGGCCATGGCAGGTTGATTGTCGATGAAAATTTGAGAGTCAAGGGCCGCACAAATATCTTTGCCATCGGAGATATCACAAACATCAAGGTATTTGCAATATTTATCAAGCCTTGTTCTTAGATGAAAAGTATGTAGGCCTTGTTTGGCAACTATAAGCTAGCTTATTTTTTTTAACTCTTTTTGGTTAGTCTTAATCTAGGTTATATATTGAAAAGTTACTTGGTGTTTCAACAAGCCACAAAGGTTTTTTCCACTTATGCACCTTAATCAGCCGACAGCTAGTTTGCCAAACATGTAGTTTAGCTTGTAAGTTTTGGTAACATGGAGTGTGAATTACAGGAAATGAAGCAAGGTTATTTGGCTAAAAAGCAAGCGTCAGTTGCGGCCAAAAACTTGCAACTGTTGATAGGTGGAGGAAACGAAAGCAAAATGTCAACTTACAAGCTAAGTTCAGCTAAAGCGATTGTTTCACTGGGAAGACATGATGCGGTTGCTCAGTTACCTCTGACTACAGTCATTGGGCTAATCCCGGGATTAATCAAATCCAAAGACCTATTCGTGGGGAAAACAAGAAAGGAGCTGGATCTTGATTCTCGTATCATGCATTAACAAGAACGATGAATTTGGTTATCAATGTACCTTCTACCTTCCGATGCTTCCAAGGTACTTCTGAATACATGTGGTCTCTGTTTCTTTGTGGCTTTGAAGATGCTGTGATTGTAGATTATGCATCGTATATATGTTGTGTTTTGTAGCTGTATAATACAACAATAACTATATTTTTTATTTCTTCTTGCAACATATGACACAAAATATAATGTTCAATGGCTAATCAGATAAAGCCTTCATATCTTAAAACACAGTGCACGATCACCAAGTTATAAAGAAAGTAAACGATACCGGCAGACACCCAAAAGAGCGTAAGAACCTGGGCTCACTCTTCAATTAGATAACCATATAGTTCCAGAAATACATCGCCTAAGCACCAACCCTATCGCGAGGAATCAGTCGTAGTTCTGAACCATGTTTAAGGAAGACATTACCTGTCAAAACCAAATCAAAACACACAAAATTTTAGAGAATCACAAAAACTGTAGGTGATTGAGGGTGCTTTTGGTATGCAGACAGGACATGATGAACGAGAGTGAGGTAGGAAAATGAAATAATTGTAGAAAGTTTTTAGCGTTTTAAACTTTTAATTTAACATGGGTATTTTAGTCATTTATAGATCTAGTCCCATCTCCCAAATTTGTGTTCCACTTATTTTGGTTAGACAAAAAAAATCCATTTTTGTCCCACTCGGTCCCATCCTTGTCCAATCAAATATGTCACAACAATAAGCTTTCTTTCAAAACCTGTCCCATGCACCAAACACACAAAGTTGTATTAATTTTCAACGCAGTTGATCAAATAATGATATCAGAATGTGCTATTTTCACCTTAGCAGCTGAAATATTTTCCTTCTCAATTTTAACAAAATTTGAAGATGTAATTCTCATCTCAAAAAACAAGTGATTTTAGAATGTAATTCTCATCTCAAATTTGGCTTGTGTTTTTTAGTAGCACATTGATTTATTTAGAATCATGTTATTCTTGAATTAATTCCCATTTTAGATTGTGTTGTTTCTGAAAACGTAGTTCAGAAACAATAATGATATGAAAACAACGGAAACATAATAGTGACACGTCTTACTACTAGAAGTAGATGCAAAAATACCTGCACTTTGCTGAGGATTGATTCCAACACCATCTGCAAAATAGAAACAATATTGATATGAAAACATCATACAACTACAACTCAAGAGCATTCTGAAGGACAAAAATCACAAGATCGCAATCCTGGTACAAACCATTTGCACATAATTATCAACAAACACAACCCTAAGTGATAGCTCAACTGGGTGACCATGGGTTTGCTCTCCTGATGTCAACAGTTTAAGTCCCATCAGGGCCACAGGAGGGTTTGACTGGATTAGTTGAGGTCGCCGTAAGCTAACCCGGACACCCACAATTACCAATTCAAATTATAGCAAACATCCGGTGAAAAGAGCTTCGAGGAATGATCAGAACCAGTTGTAATCATGTAAGCATTGATGCTTTATGTAACAATAGGCATAATAGGATCAATTTGCACTACAATATCTTTAAATTTTTCTATTCATGTAATCTTCAAATGATCTATCCACATGCATTACTAATTTTGTAGCAGCAATGTACCTTACCAGTTTGATAGTGTGTAGACAACTTTCAGCATCTATTTTTTCTTCAAATGGTCAACAAAAATGTCTCTACAGTGAGTTGGGGATTATTTGATATAGAAAGCGGTTTATTCAGTAAGTTTATAACCAAGTGTTTTTCTTATTACACCTGTCCTTCCCAATTTAAAAACAAGCTCCTCCCAAATAATGAACCCTCCCCATCTACAAGGACATATTAATCAACATAGACATCCAGAACATAATGAAAAACCAACCAAACTCATTATAAGGATATAATAAAGGATCATATATATATATACACACACACACACACATATATGAGTTATAATCTTCAATCACCTATTGCACTTAAGTTGCAAATTAACAATTTATAGATTATTTCCTTAGAATAGATATATGTTCTCAGGAGAGTACACTGACAGAAATTTATCCATAAGATGAATCAGATCACAAGTATATTACGAGAATTGCATTACCGTTGGTGATGATGGCACTAGTCTGGGGTGGTACTTTGAATTCTTCGGCAGCAAATTTAAGAACAGCGGTGAATGGAGCTCCTTCTGGAACGCTAAACCTAGAAAGCACACCAAACATAATTATCAGCAACGATACTTCAAAAAAGAAGTTGAAAATATAATAAAAAACCTAAAAGAAGAAGAAGGCGATTGATTACGAACACTTTAAAAGGAAGCTTCGGATCAGAGGTGAGAGTAACCTTGAAAGAAACCTTCCCGCCGGCACCAGTCGCCATTTCCACTATTCACTGTATTCACGTCTCCTGGTTGTTTTATACGGAATTATTAGTTTTGCCACGAAGGAATCATGTCGCGTACGTGATAAGCAAGCCAAGCCCAGTCCAATAGGGTGATAAAAAACCCGACCAACCAGATCAATCCAATCCAACCCAACCTAACGTGAAATAATCCAATTTGAAGCAACCTGATGTTTAATCGAGTTATAAAATTGTCAAACTATAAGTATTGAGTTAATATTGGGTTACTATTATTTGAACCCAACTTAACCGATGAATTCGATATCCTTTTATTTCTTAGTTTTAATATGATTGTTGAATTTCTATTAATATATATATTAGACAATTACACTATTATGTATATTTTTCATATACACATATTTTCAATCTATTCATATTTATATTATATTATAAAGCATTTGACAAAAAAAACTCTTAAAAACCATTTTTTATGCATGAAATACTGTTTATTGATGCATATTATTTAAAATTCAAGATTACAAGTGATTTTGTGTAAGTACAACTTATTAAAACTTCATTTTTAAATTCGTGTAACTAACTGCAGATAAACATAATCAAATACAGGATAAACATCTATTTTAAGTATAAAAAATCTAAAATATAATTAAGATAATCATTGAGTTTCTAATCGAACGTTTAATTATTATCTTTAATAAAAATTATATTATTAAACCAAAAATAAATTACTTTGTTATTAGACCTAAATTAAATTATAATAAAAAATTGAATTAAAGAAGTTACAACAAAAAACGAAAGCTATTAAATAATTAATTTAATACTAATATCAATTTTATTTTTTTAATTTTTTATGCTATTCTCAAATTTATATTTCATTCAAAAATAAAAACATTATCGCTTTCTCAAAACCACATAAAATCGTATTATATCGATAGAGACAAATAATAAAAACTAAACATTAAAATAGAGATTTATCTCGCTGCATTACGCGAGTACCCTTCTACTCTCTATATAACTCATTCATATATATGTTTAGTAACTGTGAACATATATATGTAAATTGAGAAAATTAACTAAATGTGATATACGTAAGAAATATGGATAAGTTGTATCAAATGCTTGATGATGAAAAAGAAATTATGAGTAGAGAAATAACATATTCAAGGTTAGAAGAATACTTTAATATACCAAAGTATCAACCCGACCAACCCGTACAGGTTGGGTTGGGTTGGGTTGGGTTAAGATTTTTTTAAACCGCAAGCATTGGGTTGGGTTGTTCAAATGTCTTCAACCCGATCAACCCAACCCATGAGCACCCCTACAGTCCAGTCCACCCAGCCCTAAACCCATTGAACTTAACTGAGTGTTGCTTGATTGGTGAAATATGGTAGAGTTCTAGTGAGAATGAAAGCTACGGTGAATAGCGTAAGAAAAGATTTGTACTCTTGAATCAATCCTAACCAATGAATGTCAACGCTAATGTGATGCACCAGATCAATTCACTTCTAAAACACAATTAATGGATGAACATAAGATGATAAGTGATCAAGAGTTCAAATCTCTTTTTACGCTTCTCAGAATAACTTTCCTTCTCACATAATCCTTCGCTTGGTGGAATATATCTCCTAAAATATGAAGAGTAAATTACGTTTTTAGTTTTTAGTCTTTGTGATTTGTTGAAAATTTATAATTTCGTCCTTGTAGTTTTGAAATTATGGTTTTCGTTCATGTGGGTTAAGTTCATTACTTTTTTCGTTCTTATAATCTAAAATTTATAACCTTTTTTTTTGTTCTTATGGTTTACAATTCATTTATATTTTAATCAGTTTATACTTAAAAATAGTGATGAATATCTTCAATGGAAAATTAGGATGATAAGTTTCTACCAAGGTCTCGACCTTAAGCTTTATGAATCCATCAAAAAGGGACCTTATATGCCCATGACCTTAATTCCTAGGATTCCTCCCTCTGACAATATTGTCGAAGTACCTGCAAGGCATGTTCCCAAAGAACGAAGAGATTGGGACGATGGGGACAAGAGAAGGGTGAAAATTGACCAAAAAGCCAAAAGGCTTTTAATCATGGTCCTCAACGAAATCTTCCAATCTCTGGATACTTACGAATCTGCGAAAGATTTACGGGATCAATTGGCTAATCAGCTTGAAGGTGGGATTAAAATGAAAAAGAACATACGTGCTCAATGTCTAAATGAGTACAACAGCTTTCAGGCCCTCCCCGGTGAGTCTCTTGAACAGACTTATAATCAGTTCAATACTCTAATCAATAAGTGCAAGAAGTGCGATGTGGTTAGAACACAGGAAGAGAATAATATGCTCTTCTTGAAGAGATTGAACGATGAATGTGGAAACCTTGCTATGTCCCTCCAAGCTAACCAAGATTTGGAGCAGTGGACGTTGCATGACGTCTATGGTACCCTGCAAGCTCAAGAGAAAGAGGTACAAAAGAACAAGGTCTCTTTGGGTGGACCTTTGGCCCTAGTCTCTGACTCTAAAGAGACTGACTCTAGCCAATCATCTAGAGAGAGGAGACCGAAAAAGGAAAGAAGAAGGGGGAAGAAAGCTCTTGTGATAGAGAGCGATGAAGAAGACAAAGCATCAAGCTCTGATGATGATGACATAAGCGCGTTTGCACATTCCTTGGCCCTCATCACCAAGGAGTTTCAGAGAAAGTTTGGGAGAAAAGTGTTCGACAAAAGAGGAAACAGAGGTGAAAGAAGCAAGGACAGAGGGTATTAGCCAAAGAACCCTCCTTCACAAGTGATAAAGAAGGAGGAAGACAAAAGAAGAATTAGGGAGTTAGATGCTTTAGGTGCGGAAGAATAGGTCACTTCTCGAAGGAATGCAAAGGTCCTCTGGTTAAGGATGAGTTGTACTATAAAAATAAATACAAGTACAACAGACCCAGAGGAGCCTCATGGCTGAACAAGAGAATTGGGTCTCTGACTCAACCTCTGATGAAGAAAGACCAAACCTACTTCTATGGGATGGCTGTTGAAAAAGTTACAGAAGAGTCTGGATCCGGCTCTGACTCTCAGGTATGCTCTACATCTGGCTATTCCCATTCTGAACTAAAGCAGAGCATCTCTGCTTAACTCAAGATTTTATTAAACTACAACAGAAGCTTTCAGATGAAAAAGAAAAAGAGAAAAACTTTAGAAAAACAAAATAATTTCTTTCAAAGAAAGACAAAGCTTCTGACTGTAGAAAAAGAGGAGCTATCTGTGGAAAATGAGAAAATTTTAAAAACCAAACTCTACACAGAGAATGCTTTAAAAACAGAGTGTTCTGAGCTTAAGAAGGCCATACGAAAGAAAGATAAGGAGATGGTAGAGAAAGAGCATGATAGATTAAATTCCTTAGCCGTCAAAAACTATTTTCAAAAGGAGAGAGAATTCTTACACCAGAGCTTACAAAGAAAAAAACTCTTGATTAAGAAATATCAAGATGCTCAGCAGGTGTACGAAAAGATAAATTCTCAACAGGACAAAATGGGGCTAGGTTATACAGAACTACACCTCACCTGGAAGAAGAAACCTACTCTTGAATCAATCTTTCGTTTAGGGGCAGAACAAAAACCTGATTTTCCTACTCCACCTAAAACATCACCATTTAAAAGAGTTAAACTTGAAAATAGGGTCAGAGCAAGAAAGCTCAATTTTGAAAATGTTTCTTACTCTTCCAAAAGTATGCATGAATCCAAACCAGTTGACCTAGACAACATACAGAAGAAAAAAGAGATTTTTAGTTTTGGCACCCATAATAATGAGCTTTCAAAGCAAAAAGGTGATGAAGTCAAACCTGAACCAAAAGAGATTAAAAGTACTTTTAAATATGATCTTTTCAAAACTCTAGATCCAAGGTTGATGGAAGAGTTCACAGAGAAGGTGAGACAAGTTTTTGAGCAAGATCTACTTGAGGCTTTGAATCATTCCTCTGTGTCCTAGCAAAATGATCTAGAAGAAAATTCCAAGGAAACTTTTGAAAGTTCCTCATCTATGCAAAAAAAGGACGAAGGCGTTAATACATGTCTACAGAAATCTCAAGATCCCAATAAAAATCCACCACTCAGAGTCCAAAAAGAGATTTTCTCGATTCTGACTCTAAATCAGAGGCGGACTCAAGTACGGAGCAGATTGAGACTGAGACAGTGATGAAAAGACCAGAAGTTCACAAACTTTAAAATGGGAACCCAAATAAACCTGTTCCAGCAATGGAACAGAGGAAAAGGATTCCCATGTGTCCTAACTTCGTGGACATGTATTTAAAAGCCAAGTCTTCTCTTGAGCTAGAGAAGGAAAATAAGATTAAAGAACCAAAATCTACCAACTCTGCATCTAAACTTCCAAAGTCTATATTTCAAAAGCCTATTAAGTTCACTCCAGAATCGAAAGAAAAATGGGCTTCTAATTTCAAATTTAATCCCTCTGTTTCAGAGAGGCCTCTGAAGGCCAAAGGAGGAAAAAGGACCAAGAAAGAAAAGCAGGAGAAGACAAAGGCCGATTTCAATAAACAATCAACACTAGATAGGAAGTTCACTCGAATTACTAATGCTAGGAACGATTGTAATAATAATGATTTTAAGTTCTATGAATCTAGTGGATCTTTTTGTCATAAAAAATGCTTTCATAATTGTAAATGTCTATCTCTACTGTGAAAATTAAAACAATACCTTTCTAGTCCTAACTGTCTTCTGTCTGGGTCACCTAAGAGAAAATCCAAAAGGACCCAGAGGAAGCAGACTCCTCAGGCCAAATCTGGCAAGCCAGAACCCAAGTCTGGTAAAATGGGTGTGGAGGCAGACCCTTCCCCCAAGCCAAAATCCAAGTCTCCAAAACCTAATCATTGAGGACCCATTATGAAATGGGTACCTAAATCTCTTTAATTTGTTTTGCTGAAGTCGTATGTGTACATCTAGTACCTTGACTCTGGATACTCAAGGCACATGACTTGCAACAAAGATTTGCTTTCCTCCTTCAAAGACAAATCTAGAGGATGGGTAACTTTTGGTGACAATATGCAAGGACAAATCAAAGAGTATGGAGATCTCCATCAAGGTAAGGTTTCTATCT